AAGTTGAAACGTCAAGAATGGGCCAAGAAATATCTGAAGACAGATTTTTCAAAGGTTTTGTGGACTGATGAGATGAGAGTGACTCTTGACGGACCAGATGGATGGGCCCGTGGTTGGATCAGTAACGGACACAGAGCTCCACTTCGACTCAGACGCCAGCAAGGTGGAGGTGGGGTACTGGTATGGGCTGGTATTATTAAAGATGAGCTAGTTGGACCTTTTCGGGTTGAAAATGGACTCAAAATCAACTCTCAGACCTACTGCCAATTTTTAGAAGACACTTTCTTCAAGCAGTGGTACAGGAAAAAGTCTGCATCTTTCAAGAAGACTTTGATTTTTATGCAAGACAATGCTCCATCACATGCATCAAAGTACTCCACTGCGTGGCTGGCCAGTAAAGGCCTTAAAGATGAAAAACTAATGACATGGCCCCCTTCTTCACCTGACTTAAACCCTATTGAGAACCTTTGGGCCCTTCTTAAGCAGGAAATTTACAGTGAAGGTAAACAGTACACCTCTCTGAACAGTCTCTGGGAGGCTGTGGTTGCGGCTGCACAAAAAGTTGATTCTGACCAGATCAAAAAACTGACTGACTCTGTGAATGGAAGGCTTGTGACTGTTATCGAAAAGAAGGGTGGCTATATTGGTCACTGAGGTTTTCTGTTTGGAATTTCAGAACTGTTTATTTGTAAATTATGAGTTTGTTTATTATTCTCACTTTAACAGGTGAAAATAAATAAGTGAGATGGGAAAATCTTTGTTTTTTATTTAGTTGCATGATAATTCTGCACACTAATAGTTGCCTAATAATGGTGTACATGTAGATATTCTCTTAAGAAAGCCAAAACTTCACTTTTACTACTTAAATGTTCAGGTTTGAGGGTTTGTTAACATTTTGGATTGACCAAGAGCACTGTAGTTGTGCAATAACAAAATTAATCCTCAAAAATACAACTTGCCTAATAATTGTGCACACAGTGTAGATAACGACATTATTATCCATTTATCAGATAGTCTTCTAATGTTGTGCAAATTGTTTCCAAACCACTTGATTCAACAATTGTGATACCAAATACATCCTTCCACATCACCACCATTTACTGACCAGTTTCACATGTCACATATCTGGGACGATTTTTGCTACATCTGCTGTTGCTCATGTATAAATCAAGTGTAACGTTAAGTAGAAGGTGCTTTTCATGTTTGATACTGGTTAAACTGTTGTCGAAGCTCCACGGTTAACGGACAAAAATTTTAGTTTGAGTCATTTATATTTACTTGATGCCAGATCATCAGAGGCTGGCTCTACTGTTATGGCCTGTGGTTCTTGGGCTTTTTGGTTATACTGGGACCCGTTTTTACAGATTTGCCAACACTGTACTTAAAGTGTGGTGTAAAATTTACAAATAAAACCCTCTAATGAGCTCATAAAAAATCCTTGATATAATGTCTATTAATGTGTGAATGAAGTAAGAAATTCATATGTATTTAAAATTTGTTTGTATTTCTTTTTCTTTCGCTTTTTATGTCTCAGTTTAAAACTGAACTCATGTCCACCTCACAGCGAAGGCATTCTTATGGTAGTTACGTTCCACCGGCCTGTATGAAAACATTTAGCTAAGGTATTCTGTGCCTGATATAAAGAGGTTATTTGTTTCTCCTGTTGAGGGCAGTATAACATCTCATGGTGCATAACCTGGTAGTATATATGGTTATGTTGGTTACAACAAATAAACAGTTATAATTGCAGTTACAATAATATAGTTACAAGTTAATATGAAATAGTGTGTAGATTACACATAGACATTACAAGAGTAGTTAGGTCACAGTGAGTTTAAAAAAAAAAAGCTTACATAACTTCTGCAAGTTTTTCTTTGTACTTTGTGGACTAATGTAAACTGTTTGTGCGTGTTGGAGCAGGAACAGCATGGAAACGGACAGTTCAACCTGGCTCACTGAAAAAACATAGAATAAATCATCTGGACGTAGTTTTAGGTAGAAGACGTTTCACCTTTCATCCAAGAGGCTTCATCAGTTCTGTCCAACTGATGGTGAGCAGGAGGTGTTTATCCCCCTGGCTGGTGTTTCAGTCCTTCACTGGCCAACAGGAAATGAGCCAACCTGGCTCATATACTGGATAAATACTCACTGGATAAACATTCCACAGAACAATCCCTGGAAAAAGGGATGTACGCTGACGGAAAACTGAGAATTTGGCACAAACAACAGTATGACGAATGAATGCTTGGAGGGAATAAGAGCCAGTGTTCAGCTGTATTAGAGCAGGAGTTGCCAGAAGGGAAGCAGTGGGTCTCCTGTCTGCTCCCGCGCACCAAACTCTTCAGAGGAAACGTTGATCTCTATCTCGCCTGTTGATATAAAATTGTACTAATAAATGGTCATTGGAATTGTAGTGACTTGTCTGTGATTTAATTTGGGTCACCAACAGACTTATCCACTGCATCAGGGGTGCGAAATGTACGGCCCGTGGGCCGGAACCGGTCCACCAAGGGGTTCAATCCGGCCCGCAGGATAAATCTGAAAGTGAAAAAATGCAATGAGACATAAACTAGAATTTTTTAATAAACTGCTATTCCTAAATTGTCCACGCACCGTTTTAGACATGGAGGAGCTGAAAGAATAAGAAGAAAAGACAAAACAATGCTGAGATAGACACAGCTGATGATCAGTGATTACTACGATACATCTGCTTACTTTTGTACTCGCCTTCACACCCTCATTAGCCAAAATGTCTTTGTCAGAAAGGAGAAAAGTGGATACCGAGTGTAGAGTTTTCCAAGTAAAATGGACCGCTTCCTATTTATTCACAGAGGTGAATGGGAAACCTGTGTGTTTGGTGTGTATGCAACACATGTCGGTGTTCAAGGAATATAATATTCGGCGCCACTATGAGACTCAGCATGGTGAAAAATACGACAGCCTGCAAAAACAACTGAGAAGAGAGAAGATAAATGAATTGCCGGTGGGTCTGAAGAAACAGCAGTCTGTTTTCACTCAGAGCCGAGAGGTCAGTGATGCAGCAGTAAAAGCCACCTACATAATTGCTAACGAAATAGCATTAGCACCAAAGCCGTACTGCGAAGGTGAGTTCATCAAAACATGCATGCTGAAGGCTGCAGAACTCATATATCCCAAGAAGCGACAAGCTTTTGCCAACATCAGCCTGAGGAGAAATACTGCTGCAGAGAGGATTTCGGAACTATCTGCAGAATTGGACAGCCAACTGAAACACAAAGCTAGGTCAATTATTGCATTTTCTGTTGCAATTGATCAGAGCACTGACATTACAGATGTTGCTCAACTGGCTATATTTATTTGTGGAGTTGATGAGACATTGGCCGTCACAGAGGAGTTCCTTGAGTTGGTGCCTATGATGGACACCACAACAGCAGAGGACATTTTCAGCTCTCTCGTTTGTGCGCTGGACAGAGTCAGAGTAGACTGGTCGCGTGCTGTCAGCTTGGTTACAGATGGCGCGCCATCAATGATTGGAAAAAAAGCAGGCGTTGTGACAAAATTCAGAGAGAAAGTACAAGCTGCGAATGGAGGAGATGCTTTTTGGACATTTCACTGTATTTTGCACCAGGAGGCATTGTGTTACAAGTCATTAAAAATGGATCACGTCATGGAGGTGGTTGTCCGAACTATTAATTTTATCCGAGCCAGAGGTCTGAATCATCATCAGTTTGACTGCCTTCTCGGTGACAATAACATTACCCATGGCCTGCCATACCACACTGAAGTAAGATAGTTAAGCCAAGGCGCTGTGCTGAAGTGTTTCTTTGAGCTATGAGAGGAAATTGGACAGTTTATGGAGACAAAAGGAAAACCACTGATGGAATATCTCCGGAATAGCTGCAGGACCTTGCATTTATGGTGGATATTACAGAGCACCTCAATAATTTGAACAAAATGTTGCAAGGTCGTAAAAAAGTTGTCACACAGTATTATGACAGCATACCTGTGTTCAAGTTTAAGATGACTTTGTGGGAGACACAGCTGGCATGTGGTGACCCTGCTCATTTCCCCTATCTAAGACATGTACGTGCGACTGTTGTTAATGCTGACATGAAATGGTACAAAGACAAGATTTCAGGATTGCTGTGAGAGTTTCAGAAACGGTTTCAGGTCTTTGGTGAGCTCGAGTCAGAATTCGCAGTTTTTCATTCACAGACAAAGTTTCTGATGTGCCTGTCGACATCCAATTAGAAATAACTGATTTGCAATGTGATACAAATTTGAAGAACAAATTTGCCTCAGTGGACTTGGACACATTTTATCTCCTGCCAGGGTACCCCAAATTAACAGCCCTAGCTGCAAATATTTTGTGCATGTTTGGGACTACCTACCTTTGTGAACAGGTTTTCTCAGTAATGAATATCAATAAAACAAAACTGCGCTCAAGACTCACGCACCAACACTTACATGGCATTCTGAAACTGGCTGCTACTCAGAACATGATGCCTGACACTGATGCACTTGTGCAGGCTAAAAGATGCCAAGTTTCAGTGTGATCAGTTGTACTGCACACATGTAAATGATAAACTGAAGCAAATTGCACGTTTTTCTTGAGAAATCTGAAGCTGTTCATAACATGTTTTGTAAAAGGATAGTTCATTAAATAAAAAAATATCCTAATGCGATTGTACTTATTTCCCCTAAAACAAAGGGGAAAACATGAATTTATTGTTATTTATAGCTATGATGAGCTATGCTATGATTTTAATGGTCCGGCCCATTTGACATTAAATTAGGCTGCATGCGGGCCCTGAACTAAAATGAGTTTGACACCCCTGCACTACATGGTGTACATACTGTAATATTAAAAGAAGAAGAAGAAGGACAACACGTCCACCACCGGAACTTCACTGTGTGACATCCGGCGGAAATAAACAACGCGCTAGCAGCTTTAGCTCTGTGGATAAGATTGTTGTATCGTCGTTTCCCATTTCAGTGCATCACTTTTAACAAATCAACAATGTCTTCAGTTCAGTATCTGAGAGAGTTCGTCACCGAGCGACTAACTGTTGCTGCTGAAGAAATATTCGGAGTCTTTGAGAAAACTGTCATTGAGTACGAGGAGGAGATCGATCGTCAGCGCAGACTGCTGGATATCGTTTGGAAACCAGAAGTAAAGCTACACAGAATAGGTCTGTTACACCTAAATGATTTTAATAATACTAACGGATGAACTGAATCTAACACGGAAATATGACTCACCATGAATTAAACTGTTACACAGGTTCCCTTTTTTGTCGCGACGCTGATTCCTTATTCCAAAGTTCCCATATAAAACGAGAGAGATTTGACTTTATAATGAAATGGTTTCGATACTGAATATACGTTTTTGCTTCCTCTAGCATGTTTTGTGAATACCTTCAGAACATGGTAACATTACGGTTGTAGATGTTTCCCCTAACCTGAACCCCAATCTTATCCTGACCATAACCACCGAGGGGCGCTACGTGAAACACTTATAACGGGGACACATCTCGACAGGGCCTCGGTGTGTTGGTGTCGTAGGGGACTTGTTGTGTTGGCGGCCCCTCACCCTCACACAAAGGTTTAGTTCACTGCTACGACTTGCTTTACGAGCTTAACTGTAGTTTATTGCAAACTAGATATCCATACAACATTGTTTAACTAATAAAAATAAATGGTGAATGTATTGGCCACTATCTTTTGTAATCGCTCTGTCTCTGTCCCCAGATGAAGAAAGGTGTCTCTGGTAGCCCCATAAATTCCTCCTGTTAATGTGATTTTGTTATCTGTAATTGTTGTGTACAATTACATGCTATCAAATAAAATGTTCTACTTTATACTTCTACTCTGCTTCATGTCAGAGGCAAATACTGTAGATTTTGCTCCACTGCATTTATTTGCCTACAAATAACTTTAGCTACTAGTTAGTTTGTAGATTCATATCAATAAAAATTAAAAATCAGCAAATAAATTATGGTGTATGTAGCTGCCCAACAGTATATACAGAACAATATCTTAAAATGAGCCCCACCATTACCAGTTATAATTTTAAAGACACATGAATGCATCAATAATTATAATCCAGTAACAGTAATATATTATTTTCAAATGGGTCATTCTGCACTTTTATGTTTGGTACATTTTAAGTATATTTTGGGTGTATTTTTTACTTAGCTAAGGTTTTGAGTTCAGTCCTATAACTAGTAACAGAGCAGCCTATTTATGGTACTGATTCACCTCTTGAGCCTTGTGTCTCTATATGTTTGTCCTCCCCGGTTACACACATGGGAAGGTCAGGATATTACATACACCTCTAAATATAATGTAGTCCAGTACAACACCACCTTTAACTATGACCTCAGTAATAAACATATAATTGAATTTATATATTTATGACAATTTCACCAAAAACTGAAACATTTTGAGCTTCATACACACAGATGTTAAGGTGGAAGTGTTGCATTGAATTGTATACAGTACAAGTGTACTGTAGTGATTTAAGTTACATGTTAATATGGATTATGTAGTAGAAGAGTGTGTATGGGTTCACTTTAAGTTCATGTGAGCTGAACAATGAGCTTATATAAGTTGGTCAAGATGTTTCCTGTTTTTGAGTACATCTCAGGGTGGTCTCCTAAAAGCTGGAGACAGGAAGCTAAGCTCAGAAATTGACGTAGCAGCCTAATAAATGCTGCGGATAAAAGAGTGAGGCTGAAGGGTGTAGGAGATGGTGCGGCAGGCTTCCGTGTG